TGGGCGGGTGCCTGTCAGTCCGTCTACTCGGCGAGCTTGAGGCAGGGAGAATGGCGTACAACCTGGGAGGACGCGGACTTTAGTGTGGAGCTGAGGATCCAGGCACTGCAACTCAGCCTGGGCGACAGGAGCGGGACTCTACGTCTCAAAAAAAAAAAAAAAGAAGAAGAAAACATATGCTACCTAGTTACAAAACAGGAAAAACCAGGAACGCTAGTGTGGAAATAGTATTTTACTAGCTCTAGGAAATGACCCGCATTTAATCTTTTTCTAAAGCAAGGAATGCATAGGACTGCAGGTTTATCCTTTTGCCATATCCTGCAGGCAAATTGAATTTTTGATTGCTGAATTTTCTACAAGTGGGGCACACTGCGGAGAAGTGATTTACTTTTCTAACCACATTTTCGTCAGGCTGATGCTAATGTATGGGGAGTCTACTTGAGAAAGTCTCAAATTAGCTATTTGTAAAGATGACACCACCTCAAGCAAGGAGACAAAATGGAGGCTTCACTTCAGGCTTTATGAGAGAACCAGATGCATATGGACTCATTAAACCTGACTTGTGTGTAAGAACCCTGGTTCTCTCCACATTAGTGGGCTGAGGGCTAGGGTTGGAATATAAGTTTGAATCCCCAAGCAAATGTGTGTTCCTTTTCCTGTCAACCCAAGAATGGTCCTCATAGTGTCCTCTGGGGGCCACTCCTCCAGGCCTGTAGTAGTGGCTTTGTTTAGGGGAATGGCTAATCTCCAGGGCATGCAGAGGCTGGAGGACACCATCCCCTGAAGGCCAAAAGCCTTGAACTCTGATACAATGAGCTGGAGTCTACACACTGAAGTGTAGGGATTTCTACTGGCAGTCAGCTGTGTTAATTAGCATCATGTGTATGTCCCAGGCACCATGGGGAGACACACAAAGAAATAAGAGGCATAATTCCTGATCGATAAAGGAGGGGACATGGTCAAGCTAAGAAATAAGGCTCATGCAACAGATAAGTAAGGTTACAAGTTATTTGAGTAGGGCCTAGTCAGGGACGGTTTCTTGATCACCTTGAGTAGTCAGGTTTCAGAAGGGATGATCAGACTGTTGATGACTGTTCCTCCCCATCTGAGAGAGAGAGAAAGAGAGAGAGAGAGAGAGAGAGAGAGAGAGAGAAAGAGAGACAGAGAGAGAGTAGTGGAATTGCTGGCAGAGATTAATGCCATTTACTGAGCTGTGCTTTAGATAGAAGCTAGCTGTTGATTTCTAGTTCTATCAACATTGAATTAATTGGACCACTTTTATGCCAGGAAAAAACCATTAGCTGTTAGGAAATCTTTCAAGGGCATCAACTAAGAAAGCTTCTAACAATTACGTTTTCTTTTTGGTCTTTTTTTTTTTTAAATACTTAAGAACAAGGTTTGGCAGGGTGCAGTGGCTCATGCCTGTAATCCCAGCATTGTGGCAGGCCGAGGCGGGGAGATCACCTGAGGTCAGGAGTTCGAGACCAGCCTGACCAACATGGTGAAACCCAGTGTCTACCAAAAATACAAAATTGGCCAGGTATGGTGGCACGTGCCTGTAATCCCAGCTACTTGGGCGGCTGAGGCAGCAGAATCGCTTGAACCGGGGAGGCAGAGGTTGCAGTGAGCCAAGATTGTTCCACTGCACTCCAGCCTGGGCAACAAGGGCAAAACTCCGTCTCAAAAAAACAAAAACAAAAACCGATGTTCATGTGTAACCTAAACTGTCTTTTTCTTGCAAAAATGGATGTGAAACTTTTGAATTAGAACTCACTAGCCATACTAAACATCCTAATCTTGATTCATCTCAGTTCTCTCTTATCCAAGGTGAGAAGAGGCTCATTAAGAAATGGAAAAGTTGTAAGACACATTGTGAGATTGTTTAGGCATAGTTGTATTTTGGAAGTCATTTAGGATGCATCTTTAATGAAGAGAGATGATGTGCTACTGAATGTTGTATTTCCCAGCTTGAAGTACTTTCTCACATGACTTTGCATAATTGCTTAGTTGTAGTTTTATGTTGGAAGTGACTTTAGCATGTTTTTAGGGAAGAGATGTTTCACCACTGAGTGTTTCCACACTGACATGCTTTTTCAGATGAATCCTAAGATTCACCTTGATTTTATACATTTAAACCTGGAACATTAACCCTCTCCCTGGGAATGTGAGTCGTCTTTGATTCCTTGGCTTTCTCCAGGGCACATACACTAGGAAGCCAATGTTTCAAGGAGAATTCGACTCCGATTGTTGGCTCTACTGTAGTGTATGTGACTTTTAGATCCTTGCAAGGTTCAAGGGTATTGGGTTTCAAAAGTTTTAGTGTGACCAAATTCAGGCTTAAAGCTGCAAAAGCTCATTCAACACTCTGAAAACTCTCCTGAACTCTACACTGAAAGTCTGTTAAAATGTTCCTTAAAACCTTTAGAGGTGGACTTAAGAACAAGAAGTAGAGTTGTGAGCTAAGACTGGCAGGTTGGGGGAATGGGAGGATGAGACAAGTATCAGAAGGATAAGGAAAACCGAATAGAGGCCCTTGAAAATGCTCAGTTATCTTTCTTTGTCCCATCCTCTCTCCTCCACCATATTTCTGTCTTTTACCCTTAGGCCTGCACTGCCTGAAAAGAAGGTGGCTGATCTAAGCACTCTGAATGAAGTGGGCTATCAAATCCGAATTTAGCCAAGCCATACCGGCCAGCAAGAGGGTTTCTGTGGTGCTTCTCTCTGCACTTTACCCAGCATCTTCAGGAGGAACTGCAACTATTTATTAAGAACTTGTGAATTTTATTTTTAAGGATTCACCTGGAAATAGAATCTGAGTGGGTGGTAACCATTAGCTTTAAAAAATTCACTAAGAGGCACCATGAAAATGCTGAAGTAATAAACCCCACTGGGGTTGGACTATGTCCCTCACTCAAGATCTTAAGGATAACAACCATAACTGTAGTTTTATATTTTTCCATTTACCTACTTTCTTTCACTTGCTTTGAACATTATGCCTCACCAATAGTAAATGTTCATGAAATAATCTCTTGAACTTTTGGTATAGTAAGGTAACTCAAACAGTATTACTGTCTTTTTCAGCAATAACAGAAAGCAAAAATGGGTGGGTTTTTTTTAAGCAGTTAATATTACCTCAGCATTTTGACATCAGATATGCAAACTTAATGGCGTTTTGTTTTTTTATATTCTATTTATATTCTTTCCCCAGTATTTCCCATGGGGATCTCCACAAGCTTGAAGTTTTTTCCTGGTGCACACACATGATGAGATTTAAGGTATTATATGCAAGTGTTTTACTAAAAAGCACTGAAATTCTTCTGGCAATACAAGAACCATTTTCAGGATCTTGGAGTTACTTCCTTCTTAATCTTTCTTAAAGCATTCACTGATGTTTTTTCAAAATGAAACAAAAATATCACATTGAGAAGCTAGTCTATGTTCTGTCACTAACATTTAAACTTTGCAGACTCTAGCAAAAAGCACAAGAGGTCATGTACTATTACACAAATTTAGCAGTACTGGATTACCTCTGGACACTAACACACTCAGGCAAAGAAACCAGGAGTGATGATCAGGTCTTCAGAACCAAAAAACCTTTCTATTCACATTTCATCTGATTTTTAAACTGAAGCAGGCTTTGATTCTTCTGAAGGACGCAAAGAATCTTAAAAACTAAGGGAGGACTCACTGTTGTTAAAGATGTGTTCTGATGTCTTATATTAAGACCAAATGTGACATAATGTGATTATCTTCCAGTACTTTGCTTTTACCTACCACTTCATGACATTTTAGGAATGAGTATTGGAAAATATAACGAATTAGAAAAGCAGTACTTTTTTTTTTTAATGGAGAAGTCTTCGGTCCAGTGTTACACCTTATAGTGTGATTCAGTCCCTAAGCACGGAATGAATGTCTGGCCTGCATATGGTAGTTACAGTGTAACCTCTGGCTGCAGACCACAGAGGACAACCCTAACAGCATAGTCTTGTATGGTATAAATATCAAGAGTACAGCTTCGATTTCATTTGCTTTATCTTAGCAACAATGCCAACTCAGGAGACCAGACGGCCGATTTCAGTGAAGTCTGGTAGTCAACAGATGTTATTTCAGTCTCAGTGCATGTCTTCTGGCTTTCTTTGACTGAAGGTGTCTATAGGAAGGAAGTTAAAAAAATATATCCTCATTGAGATTCTTTACCAATTCTTTACAAGATTTCTGGGGGTGACAGGGAAAGCAAAAGGACTTCATCCTTTAGCTATGTGCACAAGAGCTTACTTTACCCTAAAAATCAGTATTATTAATGAAAAGTACTGTTTTCTTAAAAAAAGAAGTCTAATGTCATGTAGATGAACAAGACCAAGGATACATCTCCATTAGATTAAAATGTAGCACAGGGTTAAAAATTCTCAGTTTAATCTCTTTAAGAACAGTATTATCAGAGTTTAAAATGAGTTATCTCTGTCTATCTTCACACAGCAAACCCATTTGCAGCCTCTTGGTCACATGTATTCAGATGTTTGAAATAGTGAATCATTTCATTTTCATTCTAAAACAATACTGACTTAAACATATACCTTCTGTTTGTCAATCTGAAACTTGCTTACATCTAGTAAGTGCACCTCTTATAACACTGCATCCATTCTAAGAGTTGGAATTTATTTTTGCCCAAGTATTAAGTACTGTTACATCTAAAATACAGAATGTCAAATGGTTGCATAGCTTGTTTCCCACAACAAGGAGGAAAAGAATAGGAATACAAACTCTGTAATATGCTGATACAGAAGCCTTAGAACTGCCAACTGGTTTGATGGTTCAATTAGTAAGCTAATTTCTCCCACACCCGCTCCCGCCCCAAAGCAAGGTTTAGTCACACAAACATGAAAGTACATTTAAAATGTCCTTAGTTGTCATCCTACTTTTATTGCCTATGGAATATGCTAATTTCTTAAAAAAAAAAAATGGGAAATGCACCAAACCCCTAAATTCTAGTGCAATAATTTAATAAAAAAAGACAAACAAACATGTTTTGTGCACCCCCCTCCCAAAGTTGATTTTAAGACTGGCTAGAATTCAAAATATAAAAAATAAAACTGAAGTGATTTGAAATCGATTTTTAAAAGTTCTTAGTGCAAGAGAAATTTTATGTTTAAGCCATCATGGCAATATATGCAAAGTTTAAATGAATGACAGAAATCTTCATTTTAGACTGTATGTTGTGCTGTTTTGAGTACACTTTATTTCAGAAAGTGATATTTAGTATTTTCTATACACTCTGAAATCATGAGCATTTCACTTTTTCTAAGTCAATTATTTCATAAGGATTTTATTAATAGATATTGGTAAATAGAACTTTGGAAATCTTAATTCAGAATTCTTACTATACCTGAGGCTTTTGTAAGCTATAGTTTTATGTACAACCTTGTACAGTTTTTTTGACATACAATTCAGAACTTTGTTTATTCTCTTGGACTTTGTTGTGGCCAATACATTTTTTTAAAATCTTTAAGAAGAACTGTGATTGTTTTAGTGGGTATTTTTCTAAGTAAATGAAAACTTGTATAATGGTATTTTAGAGAATGCCAGATAAGTGCATGTTTCGAGTTAATGTTTTTCTCATCACTTGTATGTTTCTAACACAGCATGGGACTTTAATAAAACCATCCTGGAAACTTAACCATTGTTTTTCTTCTAAATATGTAAGTTGCAGCTGGGCTCAGCGGCTCAAGCCTGTAATGCCAGCACTATGGAGGCCGAGGCGGGTGAATCACCTGAGGTCAGGAGTTCGAGACCAGCCTGACCAACATGGTGAAACCCCGTCTCTACTAAAAATACAAAAAATTAGCCAGGCATGGTGGCGGGCACCTGTAATCCCAAGTATTTGGGAGGCTGAAGCAGGAGAATCGCTTGAACCTGGGAGGCGGAGGTTGCAGTGAGCTGAGATCCTGCTGACACACTCCAGCCCGGGCAACAGTGCAAGACTCAGTCTCAAAAAAAAACAAAAAAAAAAGAAAAAAAAGTAAGATGGTGTGATTTTTTTTGGTCATCGTATTATATACTTATTCTAGTGAACCTGTTCATCATTCTTTCACCCTTCTTTCACAATCTGCAGACTCTATATTAAAAACTACTCTATTACTCTATTTTGACACATCTCAATTCACTCATCTTTTAGCACCACTCTAAGTAAAAATGGCTGAAAAGAGCCATGAAATAGTTTAGTAAAGGCAACAGGACAGCTTATACATCTCAGTATACCTACCACAAAACCTTCAGGCACAGAAGTATGAGTATAATAGTTTATTACATAACTTACAGGTACAAAGTGCAAATGACTTGACGCCTCTCTTTCCCCAATCCCTTGAACTCTCTGGATCTCAAACTTTCTTTAGGAAAGCAAATGGTTAAAAGCTGACAGTAACTGAATTACAAATAAAGACAAGATTTCAAACATGCATATTATCTTGATAGCAAAATGTACAGTAAAACCAAAATTTCATTACTCCACAGTTTACCTTTCCATTTAAAACTTGTATAGTATAACACTTGAAACTGAGAGATTTGGTTTCAGGCATTAACCAGATTTAATTGCTTTTGGCAGGTAAGTAGAGGCTCCGGCAGAGTTACCAACTATTCTGGTCAACAAAAGTAAAGACAAGTGGATAATTATTTTTAGTGGAGCTTTAAAAACCTGTGAGAAGCTCACATTGACTTTCTGGCCTCCAGTCCACAAAATAATACTTCATTTGATAAGCTAAAGTAGAGAGCAATTTTATGGATTAACTCTATCAAAGTGAAGCACATGAAAAATGGGCCAGAATATATTAATCAGGATATAAAAACTTTTCACAGAGGTTTTCAGGGATGTTCGTTTGTTAACAATGACCTATATGTAATAATGTTATTTGTTAATAAATTCACACAACACAAGGCAGTAATTAACTAATGAATTTTCATTTTTCTTTTCCCCAATACTAAAAAGGGGATTATTATACTATCAAATTATACTATCATTATAATTTGATGTCTCTATCTGCTAATTAGGGCACATAATATTCTGTAAACTACTACTATAAAATGTGGGAAATCTTGGAACTATAGTTAATACTGCAATTAAAATCCCCCCAAAGGCCAGGAGTGGTGGCTCATGCCTGTACTCACAGCACTTTGGGAGCCTGAGGCAAGTGGATCACCCCTGAGGTCAGGAGTTCGAGACCAGCCTGGCCAACATGGCGAAACTCCATCTCTACTAAAAATACAAAAATTAGCTGGTCGTGGTGGTGCACACCTGTAATCCCAGCTACTGGGGAGGCTGAGGCAGGAGAATTGCTTGAACCCAGGAGGCGGAGGTTGCAGTGAGCCAAGATTGCGCCACTGCACTCCAGCTTGGGTGACAGCGTGAGATGCCGTCTAAAAAACAAAAACCCCCCCAAAGTGAGAAATTAAATATTTAAACATATTCAATTACAATTTTTACTAGATAAATCTTATAATCCACATGCCTTCTTTGAGGTTTTCATCTGTTTTTTTAAAAATAATTATAGCAAATGCTTTAGTACAAAGACTTAGTCCAAGACTATTATTATTTTCCAATTTAAGGTGAAGCATTCTATTAATAAAACTCACTGTAAAAACATTTATAATTCAGTGTAAAATTACTACTTAGTAAAAATGTATGTAATTCCTTGTTCCTACTGTCTACAAAAAAGGAAATTTCCACTTTTTATGTTTTAAAATCAATTCAAACACTTGTATATAGGATTTATTAAACCTACTCATAACCACTTCATAGAAAGTGTCAGCACCATCTCACACTGGTGCATCACTGTAAAAGAAAACATTTTAGAAACAAAACCACTAAAACCAACAGTTTAATGACTATTTACAGAGTATTAGGACTCCAAGTTAATATATTCCCACTAGAGTTTTACAGGCTTCCTCATATTTCTGAGGCATAACAAAAACAATTTTATAGCTGCCATTTTGTTCCAAAGACAAATTTCCTAATAAAATAAATTTCTACAGAACTGGTTCAGTAAAATAAAATCTCTCCCCTAACCCAGAGATCTTAAAACTGAATTTTTAAAAAATGCTGCCAGCTGCAGTGGTTCACGCCTGTAATCCCAGCACTTTGAGAGGCTGAGTTGGGCAGATCACCTGAGCTCGGGAGTTTGAGACCAGCCTAACCAACATGGAGAAACCCCGTCTCTACTAAAAATACAAAATAAGCCGGGAGTGGTGGCGCATGCCTGTAATCCCAGCTACTCAGGAGGCTGAGGCAGGAGAATCGCTTGAGCCCAGGAGGCAGAGGTTGCAGTGAGCAGAGATCGCACCATTGCACTCCAGCCTGGACAACAAGAGTGAAACTCCATCTCAAAAAAATAATAATAATAAATTAAAAATAAATAAATAAAAATGCTAGGGAAACAAAGGTATATCCCCAGTCTCTGCCTCTATTAAGCCCACCTCTGTCTGTTCTAGGGTGAAAGAGTGAGCTTTACACGTTATGCTGACTTACATTTCCCAAACATTTCCCCAACACGATGCAGGCATATTACATGGCCTCAGGACAGTAATATGATGGATTAAGCATTCTGTACGACTTAAAAAGCATTATCAAACCCCTTCAAAAACAAACTAAACAATGGCTGGTTGGATACCTGTGAATGACCCAAGGATTTCTAAGATAAACTATTTAGAACTCAATAGAGGGGTCTCCTAATGAAATCAAGCCTTCTGGAAAGAAACTGCTTATAGTTTACAAGAACTCAAAAGATATTTTGGATCCACTACAGAGCTCACCAAAATTTATGAAATGAAATTTTTTACAAGCAGACAAAGGAAGATGCATTATATTTAAAAATCACTGTCAATTTTACTAGGATTTAGAATACAAAACCTTTACATCTCTTTTACAATAAAGAGTATTTAGATCTCACTTGTCAGAAAAATATTTTTCATTATTAAAAAAATTGTTATAAAGTTGTTTCTTCTGATACAGAGTTTCAAAGCATCTAACATAACCTCCTCAGAAACTCCACAGTGCAAAAATAAACAACATGCATACACTTAAGAACTTTACATTCTTTGAAAAACAATACAAATTGGAAAGAAAATTAGTATGTGATCAAAGAAGTCAGAGCTCAAGTCTGAACTTTGCCAATAAAGGCAGATGATCTGAAGAGTTATTTTCATTTGGAAGTCCATTAACAGTCCATAAGTCTTGTTCTGTAAGAAGTGACAGTCTAGCTAGAAGTTTCAAGCCACCAACCAAAGCAACTTCAGCTCCTAAAGAAGCACATACATATTTAGTAAAACTGTCAACAAGTTATTGTAAATTAATCATACAAGTCTTTTCTCCAAATACATATAGAACTTGAGGCCCCTCCAGAAGACTAAAAACTATGAAACAGTTTTTAGAATATTTAAGCTTAATATTGAGTTATAACCTAATTGTAATTACCAAACACACAGCAGTTTGAGATATTGTTTCTATTTCTGGCTCTGTAACTGTAAGCAATCTTTAGAAGAAAATATAAATCAAATACTTAAGAATGTTAAGAGTAATTTGTGATTGACAACTACATAAGAAACTCATCCAGCAACCATTCCGTAGTTGCATAAAGCCAGAGATACCGGGCCACAGCCCTGCAGAAGTTTATAAGGTGAATGGAGAATAAATTAGTGTAACTTAGTCCCGAGTCAGCACCCACAGAAGTAGAGTAAAAGATGACATGCTCTTATCGTTAAGAAATTTGAAATGCTGATTGGTAACACTCTCCCGCCACCTAGTGAACTTCTGTCAGCATGACAACTATGAAAACCTTACTATAAATTCAAAGCAGCAGGCATATTTTGTAGAGTAGATCTAGTGGCAGGGGTAAGTCATCTCCTGAGTGTTACTAATAAGGTTATTCCCAGAAGAAAGGAGAGGGGAACAAACAGAGGGGAAAAGGGTAAAGAACAAGAAGCATTAAAAAAAAATGGAAGAGAAAAAAAATGAAAAAATCAGA